ATCCTGTTAGTGCTTACAATGTGACAGACTGAGGGATTGCTATGGATAAGCAGTTTCTCTAGTGAGACATGTGATGGCTTCAGCAGTTATGCAGTAGAAACCTACTGACATGGTGATACTCCCGTTATTCTTCTTGTTTTGCTACTGCTGATAGTAATATTGTGGTTTTTTTCATGAATTACTTACAGCTAGATGTCTTCAGAGAAGTTGATTTATGAATGAAACTGTAGGAAGTATTGATTTCTTGACTGAAATTCTGTACAGAGAATGGAGAAGTACATGGTAGGTTTAATGCATGGATTTGCCACAGAAGTCCATCAGTGAGATCTTCCAATACTTTGTCTTACTCTGCTAAGGTGTTGTGTTTTTTTTTTGTTTGCTTTTTAATTATTATTTTGCTCTTTTCTCTGTTTGTATGGCTTAGTACAAATATGTATGACTTCTAGACATGAGGGATCTAAACTTAGTTGGAGGCATTGCCTTCGTTGTGTATTTTTACATTTTCTTTAAGTCTGTGCCAATATCAGAATGGTTTAAGCTAAACTGTAATTAGCATGTGGTGTTAGGAAGATCAGAATATCAAACTGAAATGTACTGTCATAAAAGATTACTGAAACTTTTACAAGATGGTAACCGTAAGATCTCCTGAAATTACATCACTGAAGACTGCAGGACACAGTGCACACAGTAGTCACGAGACACAGTCTAATGCAGTATCAGATACATGTTTCTCTGGCTTTTTGATGTTGACTTGAAGTGAGAGTTACCAAGATAGCAGAGGATGTCTTTCTCAACTGTGGTTGGAATGTCAGAAGATTATAGTTTTGATTGACTTGACTGGGCAAAGTTGTGAGCTGAATCTGACCTCAGTGCACTGCTGGAAGTGTGTAGGGAGAGTTCGTTTAAGTTATAGTAATTGTGTACTTACAAGTCATTGTATGAGATTAAAGAAATAAATTGGATTCAGCTGTAACTTACAGCTATAGGAGTACATTAAGAATGTCTGTACAGTAGTACAGGAGAAATCACTCTGATGCAGTTTTAATGACAGGCCCTGGTTTTGATAATTCAGTCAAGAATTACATGCCAGTTCATTTCACCTTCAGATGGTTTCACTATCTGCATAAAAAATCTTAGGACAGAATTTCAGTTTGTTATGCATATACATGGCTCTGTTGCTCTAAATGGAACAACAGTGATAGGCGATGACCCATCCTTTCATCTTCAAAAGCAACACAGAAAAACAGCTTAATGTTTCAAGGCAGAGTTGGATCCAATCTGTTGCTGAACATTTTTTTTGTTTGTTTTTCTTTTTGCATTCTGTTTACACACCGTATAGAATAATCACATCCTCAGTCATCTGTCATCTTCTTGTCATTGTGACTTCATGGATGATCCATGACTTACTTGGCTGTTGTGAAAAGCATTTCAAGGGGAGATCTCTGCATTTGTTCAGGGCTTCATGTTTTCCCAAGCATTGCATCCCATTCTTTCCTTCAAGCAGTTCTCTGGAGTTTGGTCAAAGGAACCGAAGTCTCTGGAATAACTTGCTTTTTTCTAATGAGGAAATATTTTTGTTGTTGTCAAAACCAAGATCATTCTGTTATAGAATCTGTAGGTTTGTGAGAGGTGTGGTTGTTCTTACAGTGGCTTAGTTGTGGTTCACCGATGGTCAAAGAACTTTTGCACTGTGGATCTCATTTTGTGTCACAGAAGCTGAAGATGTGAAACTTTAGTAGCTAGATGGGAGCTAAAGCAACAGTTTTAGGAGAAGGAACTGGAGAGAACTGAGATCCCAGGTCTGAATTCACCTAGATAATGCTTAGGTTCAAATTGCCATTTAGTTTTCTTTTATGGAGATAAAAGGAAAGGCTGCAGAAAAGCCAGTTCCAGGGCTGTCCTGCAGCATCCTCAGCACTATAGGCTGGAACAAATCCTGTCAAAATGGAGCATTGCTGGAGTCTGCTGGCTGGAGATATGGGACACGTGGTGGAATGAAGAGGATAAGCACTTTGGGTTTGTGTGGGTTTTATTATGGGATGTTTAGGGGAGAAGCAGGAGGTAAGGAAAGGAATGGACCTAGGGGTTTTGTTTGAGGAGGAACAAACGTGAAGGTAGAGAAATGAGGGGATAAAAGGTGGCTGGTTGTCCAGGTGCCAGGAACCAGAGATAGCTGGGAGCCAGCAGTGCCTGAGCTTAGCTTCTGCGGGAATTCCCATTGTGCATGTGTTCTCCACTAGCAGACCTCTGTCCTACTAGGCTACAGAGAACAGGATGAAACTCTTGGCATAAGTTGTGTTTGTGCAAGTGCTCTGTGTGTCTGCTGGCAACTGATGTGGTCACATATATGTACCATATGTTTTACATGGTATATGTACTGTATGTGTGTGCCTGCTGAGAATGCATGCTGCACCTAGCTGCTGGTTGAACCTGGAGGCTCAGAGCTGAGCAGCCTCACCTCTGCTAGGCTGCCAGATTCTGCCTGTCCTAACAAATTATGGTCGTTTTCTCTCAGCCAGGGACCAGCAGGAAATTCAGTCTCATCTAAGTGCTTATGAAGTACCCACCTCACCCTGTATGTAAGTTATTGGGGGCTGTAAAAGCAGAGGAACGCTTGCAGGGATAGAAAGAAGATTGATCTTTAGTGCCATGTCTGCCATTGAGAAAATAAAGAGGTCATAACCTACCAGAAAAGCAGAGGTGGAATGCCCTACAGAGGCTTTGTGGTTTTCTGAGGGAATTTCCATCTGGCTGCTCTGTCAAACTGGTTGTGTTAGATGTCTGTGACTCTGCTGTTCTCATCTGCTTGCAATCAGTTTTTATAAACAGTCTAACATGATTGTTCATCCATCTTGGCAACCAGTAGAATATCACTCTCAAAACTATTTCTGTGAAGATGTTATATAGTTCTAAGAGTATATATAGTATATAAGAGTTATATAGTTCCTAGTGCTTTCTCACTTGCAATACTTAGTACCAGTCTTAATAAATTTGTATGTTTGTGTGGTGGAATGTTGCTGTAGTGGATGATAAACCAAGGTGCCTCACAAGTCCAGGGGATAAGGCTCACTTGGTGTTCTCATTTCTGGGAAGACTGCAAACATCACTGTGTATGGAGTCTGAGATGTGAAAAACCCTCGGGCCTGAATCACTGAATCCAATAGGGGTGATAGGAGAAGCTCTACCCAGCCAACTTGTTTACCCCCAGCTGCAGAGGAAATGTTTCATGCTGCATGTGTTTTTAGAGATCTTTGTCAGTTTAACTGCTCTGGGAAGTAAACTTGTAACAGGTTGCAGATGATATGGAACTTAAGGTGATTGTTTACCACACGCAGGCAAACTGATGTAATAGTTGTCTTGTACCTAGAGGTGCAATCCTGTCTCTCTTCTGTTTGGCCTTAGGACTTTTTTAGCCCCCAAACAAATCTGTCTGAGAAGCCAAACCCTTTCCCTCTCCCTGTGGAGGAAAAAAAAAAAAAAAAGAATCTTGTTTTTGCCAATCGGAGAGGCTAATTAGGATAGACTGGTGCAGGCACATAGGGAGGACTAGGAAAGCATGGCTGTTAGCAGAAGAACATGACCTGATTTCATCAGCTGGCACCCTTCAGGATATTGGAGAAGGTATGTTTGGGTTGGAAGATCTGATCTTGCTAATTTCCCATGGTAGCACCTCCAAGGGAAATGCTGCCTTTTCTTATCTTTTGGTTTGATGCATGCAATTTCAACTGGATTCCTTTGCTTTCAGACCTTTTTAAAAAGAGATGTGAGACTAAGAGGATGGTGTCTTAAACTGAGGAGCCTGTGCTGCATAGAAGGCAACCTGGAGTTGTGTGACCTTGTGTCATCATGACATCCAAAATGTCCCAGTTTCCTGGGAGAGGGAAGCTTTAGCTATATTGTGAAATTTCACAGTTCTGTATTTCAAGTACTTGGGCCTGAAACTGGCTGCAGAATATAGGACATTTCAAAACTGTTTCAAATTAAACCAGTTAAAGAATGAGAACCTTATTAAGTGAAATCTGAGATTGTTAACTGTGATGTGTGCTGCTGTGCTTCTTCCTACAGGGTTGATACCAGATACACATCATTGTTGCATGTTAATCAGCCTCTGTGAGAACTGGAAGCTGCAGAGGCTACAAAGAGGCTGTAGAAGTAGACTATTTCTTGTCATTTATCTTGAGTGAAGGGTGACTGCTGTTCTGATGTAATGATTTCTTCATACTGCTGATGAATTATTTCAGCATGGCAGTTGGCTGGTGAGAAATGTCTTGAGCGATGTGGCATGATTGTTGGAAGGCTGCTAGTGATGCAGAATTGCCCAGGCATGTTGAGGTGAAGACATAGCTATGTGTGCCAGGTGTATTTACAATTTCTAGAAATTTACTTCTTTAGCTACTGAAGGCAGTTCATGACCTTCTTTCATTCAGTTCACCAACTCCTTTTAGTGTTCTGTGAAAGCATTCAGAAAGTAGGACAGAAGACCTACCTGAAGCTAATTTTCAATTCCGTATGTTTTCTGAATGAATTTTCTGAATGATTGATTAGGTTTTTCCTTAGTGAGTTCGGTGAGCTGGGTCTCTGCTCTGTCCAGTTGCTAATTTGGGTGAACTGTGGAGGGCTGTAATTATGTTGAGGTTTGAAAAGCTCTCTCAAATTTCGTTGAAATTGGATGGTGATTGGGAAAGTTATTGAAGGGAGCATATAGGTAATTGAATTTTGGAGGCTCTTTTTCTAGGAGGTCATGAAGTATAATTGAGGTATAATTCCACATTACACCTTGAAAGTTAATAACACACATGGATAACAAGCCTACAGAGTTAAGCATTGTTGTAAAGTGTAGTAGCAGCGGATTTTCATGGGCACATGTCAAGTGAGGTTAATATAGCATAGATGTTGACTTGATCAACAGGAATAATAACCAGCTTTGCTCTTTATTTTTCTTCTAACCAGCCGGGCAAGGTAAATGTTAACCTTCCAAATTTGCTCTGTTTTCCCTGTAGAGATGCTTGTACAATGAAAATGGTCATTACCAGCAGCTCTGATAACCTGCCTTGATAGTGATCTTGGCTGAATGACTGAATGTGAAACGGTCACGAAGACTGTTCTCTCTGTGTCTTATGAGTTGTCAAGTAACAGCTGCTGTGGGCTGTGATCTCTTGAAGCCCAGCAGGATTCTGGATTGCTGAGGTTTCTGCAGCAGGGCTGGTCCAAACTGAGAACAGCTCATGTTGCTACATGTAAGTATATCCACATCTCTCCCATCTGCCTTGTACGTAGAAATATTTGTGGTCCATCCATTCTCACACCTCATGCTGCATAAGAAATAGTTCAGACCTTCTAGAACTATTATTATTATTCCTCAGTAAATCCAATGGCTTTCGTTTAAACTACTGATGTTTTCTTCACTCCAGAGTGGAGAACTATTGGTACTTGGTGTTTTGCTACTTGGGATTTTGTTCAAGACTATCTGTAACAGAGTTAGGTGGATTTTCCAGCCTTTTTCAGTTTTGCTCATTAGGAGATTGTTTGGTCTATACAAGAGGGGAATGCTACTGAAATTAGTGGCTGGGCCATATGCATTTAACATTAACAGTGCAGTTAGTAAGCAGTCTAGGCTTTTGGCAACAATGCATGTTCTGAAATGGCTCAGCACACAACAGGCAAGTGAGCAGGCTAGCACATGACAGGTCAGCCTTTTGGATGGCATTCAGGACAGGATTTTTGATGTGCCAAAAGTGTAAGCCAGTTCACTGTAAATCTTATTTCAAAGGATGCAGGAAAGACAGCTCTAAAGTCCTTGACAGAATAAAGAGCAGTAGATGGCTGAGTTTCCATCTGGATACCTGCACGTTAAGCAAGCAGAAGTACTATGGCAAACTGCCACAGCAGGCTGTGGTGCTATCAACTAGGCCCAGTTGCATAGTGATTGGCACTGAACATACATGGCATACTACTCTGGCCTTGGTTTTCTAACCTTTTTGCTTTGTTAAGAAATGATCAAGTCTAGAAGAGGTAGTACTCCAGAATGTAGTACCTGTCTGCATAGATCCTGCTGAAAAAATTGTGAAATCCTTTTGCAGAAATTTGTTAGCTTTTGCAACCATTCATGAACTGTCTGAACAACTGCTTGAAATACTGATACTCACTGAAGATCATTATGAAGAAGAAATAAGACATTATCTTTCATAGCAGGCCTGGAAATATGCCCGTATGACACATGTAAGAGTATGATTATGGAAGAGAAATTTTTTTAAGCAGTGACGTGGTGGTCACCCCTTGTGAACCATGATTCTGTATTGGATTATCTGTGTGGATGCCATCTGCATTGGAATGGACATTGAATGTTGCAAGCAGAAGGCTGCTGAAAAGCTGCAATTGTTTCTACTGGTGAGATTAGCAAGTTTTTAAAGAGGTTGATGACTTCTTGGAGGGACTAAAACTGGGTTCTGTGAATGAAATTCCTGTTAGCCCAGCACTCCTTTTTGCTAGAACTAACCTGACCTGGAAACCCAGTGAGTTGCATTCCTTCCTAAATCTTCTTTTTTAACAGACTTTAAATTCCACTGATGCTTCTGTAGAGATTTATAATAGAAATTTAGTACTAGTAATAGTTAGAGGAGAAGTTAAACAGAGAGAGAGATAATGTTATTTTACTATGGGATTAAAAATGCAAACCGTATTTCAAGGACCAGAAGATTTTAGTTATGATTGTTGCCCTGCTCTGATTTTTATGCAGCAGGATTTATCTCCCTTGCAGCATCCTTGTATTGAATGGGTGAAGTTCCAGGTCCCAAAACACAAGGTGGTTCCAGGGGAATACTTGTAATTCACCGTGTTGGCAGTTCTGATTATCTCTGATGATACCTCTTGTTAACACAATAAATTACAAGTGTTCTGTAAGCATCTACACAACAGTAGTATCTTTCCTTACACCATAGTAATTTAAAGATAAGAGAGAAGAATTACCTTTGTCCAGTAGATATGGTTGAGAAAGTAAGAGATTCTGGTACAGAAGAACAGGAGTCCATAGTGCACTCCTTTGTGGTGCTGCCATTGATTAAGGTGTGAAAACAGTTCTGATTGATGCTGTTCTGTGGTGCCCATCTTTCTGTTCATAACTCAGACAGTAGAAGAAGAGGTGAAATGGAATGTAACTGATTTTGTGAAGTAGATGTTTTGGCCTTTTTAACATCTGTCTGAGCTCAGAGCAGTCTTTAGCTTCTACTGTTTGCAGTATTCCTCAAGACAGCTGAAGTATTTTCATAACAAGAGCAAGGTAGGTGCTAATTTCATGGTGGGTTGACCCTGAAGTAAACACAGTAGTTACACTTTACACTGCAGATAGGTCATTTGCTTGTGTAGCGTCGGTGTGGATCTTTGTTTCCCTCCCAGATCACTCTTCAGAGTGAAGCTGAATTTGGAGGACAAATTTTGCGAGGGGACAGCTCAACCAGTGAGTTGTTTGCAGGGAGAGAGCACTCTGTTTTTACCTCTTCTCTCCTTTACTGACTTCTTACTCCACTGAATGTGCCAGAAACGGCCCTTCTTTTTGACCAGCATTTTGTTGCCATGCAACCAGGACAGCTGTGGGCTGGTCTGACCAGTCTGACCATTGCAGCTGGTTCCAAGTCCTTCACTTGTAAGCGGAGTTGAGCCCTCCTCTCCCTGTGTCAGAGGATAGCAAACACTTGCAGGACTCTAGTTTCATTTTCTGTCTTGGTGAGGTCACAAAGAAAAGTAACTTTTGGGGAAACCTGTATCAAATTTCTGTGGTACTGAAAGAGGTAAAGTTTTCCTCCCATCCTTTCCTATTTGATGTTAAAGAATATTCTGCTAAGCAGAGAGAGAATGCTACTGCAGTATTACTTTTTTTTTTTTTTTTTTTTTTTTTTTTTTTTTTTTTTCATATGCATCTCATCTTCTTGTTTTGGGCTTCCTGTACTTTATAGAGATGTTATTTCAGTCCATTCATTAACTTGGTGAGAGCTCTTTTTGAAGTTCATTTGAAGTGCTCCACAGGAAGGGTGTTGACAGTTGTGGTTAGCTGCCAAGCAAATAATAATTACATGATGCACCTGTCCTCTCCCAGCTTTGGGTAAGTAGAGAGAGGAACTCCCATCACTGTGTGCTCAGCGCTGCACCGCTTTATTCTGCATAGAATTTGGGTGGAAGAACTAATTTTGCACCCCTGTAAAGAGAGTTGGGATGGGATATGTGCATAGGCCTTTGGGTTTTGAACAGGGAGTAGCAAAGGTAAGAGTATAATTTCCGATAAGGAATATCTTGATAAGTAATACATACTATTGTAATGTATATCTTTGTAAATAACAGTAAGTGGTTTTCATCATGGGGCCATGAACAATGTAGGTTCCTGAACTAAATTATTTTTCTCTTATTTTTGTTGTGATTGTAAGCTTCAGATATGACATTATCAAGTAGAGAGCTAATTTCTTTGTTCAGTGGAGTAATTCAGCTTGAAAGAGATGTGTTTTCTTCTTTTTTTTTTTTAACCTGATCCAGAGAAACACTGTACAAGAAAACAATTCATTGTGGTAGAATACAAAACTAACATCAATTGGAGAACCATCTAGATAAGTTCAAATGTGTAGAGAGGCCTTTACTCTAGGTGCCTTTGGGTGAGTGAGTAGTCTTGTTATGTTCTGTCAGTCACGGCTAATGGAGAGAGGTGTGTGCTGGGTTGGAAGGAGGCACAGATAAAGGAGAGAAGATGCTGAAACTATAGTCCATGCCTCTTCTAGTTTAATGACATTGAGACTTTAAGAGAAGTGCAATTTCATAGCAAGTTAGAGGCAAAACTTCCTGAGGGATAAGAAAATGACAAGTTTGTACTACACATTTTTCTTTCAAGTAGAAACTTACTGCATTTTCAGTGTGATTTGGCTAGATCCAGAGGGCTCTGTTATTATCCAATAGAAAATGAGACTTAACACTTTTTCATTGAACAGGTTGGAACCAAGTTAAATAGAGGTGCCAAAGTCTGCTTCAGGAATGTGTTTGGAGTCTGCTTTATGAGCAGATGGCTACCCTGTGAATGAGGCAGCTATGGTCTTGTACTTCGTACTGCTGTTGGCCTGCAATGTGACCTTGGGCTATTTGTTTACTGATTCTCATGGCTCTTTTCTTTCATCTACTGCTCTCAAAGTCCTTGAAACAGGCTTCACAAAGGACTCTGGAATTGGTTGTGATAAGAATTTTGCGGTTACATCTCACATCAGAGCTTACCTTAAACAAACAACTGGTTACTACATATTAGATTAGTTGAAGTTCTTTAAGACAGTGTTTTCTGATGCCTTGTAAAATGATGTGTGCTTACAAAAGTCTGTTTTTATGCACTGGTGGATAGGTAGCTGTCCTTGGAGCAGGATTACCCACTGTGTTTTCGTGTATTCAAATGCAGATTGTTGCAGTTTCTACAGGTGTACTATTGAAGGCCATCTGAAAACCAGGAATTTTATACTAACATAAATTTATAATTTGTTTTCTTTGTGGTTACTGTGAACTTATAAGAAGTATCAAACACAACTTCACTCCATTAATGGCTTTTCTTGCAGTATAAGAAGGGGAGGACTCCTCTTGGGGTCACAGAGTTCATTTTGCTTGCAGGTGTTGGCTTCTAATCTACTGGCCTTTTTTAGTGCTTGGTGCTAGCATTTTACTGGTTTCTGCAGTGTAATGAGATGTGGCTGATTACAGTGGTTGTGAGCCTCCAGTGGATATAGGATAAAGAGGTTCTAAAACATGTAAAATACTGTTGGAATTCAACTGTAAACCCTGAAGGAAACTCTTCATTTGACATGAACTTTAGGAGACCTTCTCTTGGAATGTAACAAAAAATAAATAAATAAAAGAGAAGTAGAAATAGAACTCCTTGGGCTGAAAAGATTCCTATTGAAATCTTCTCTGTAGTGATGGAGCATGACTAATAGAAAGAACTACTAAAAAATATGACTGATCTCCATTGTGCACAGCACATTTTAATTTGCTTTTTGTCCTAATGGCAGAGAAATTTGCAAGAATAAATCCTCACATGCAAAATCCTTGGGAATTTTGCATTCCTTCGGGAGTGTGTATCTAGGCAGCTTTTTTCTCTTTCTTTCTAAGGGTTCTGGAGGAAGCACAGCTTTACTTCTGCTTTTTTCATTAGTCAGTCTTAAGTTCTTCAGTGCACCGCTTTACAAAATACATTAATCCAAATGCAAGTGCCAGCTCATCTTTTTTAATGCAGAAGTACAAACAACGTTACTAAAGGCTCAGCTGTTATTGGTAAAAAACTGGTGCATGAGCAAGGAGGTGCTTGTGTAAGCTGTTCTGTGCATTCAGACACCTGGGTTTGCTGCAGAACTGCTTTCCAAAGTTCTCAGAGCTACTTTCCATTGTGGCAGCCTGTGTAATCCACATGCAGTAGTGAATGAGGGTACCTGGAAAAGAGAACATCTATTCATGAGGCAGCAGGATTATCTTCTGCATCACTCTGTAAGCTGCCATGGCTACAAAACTAACCCCATTATATAAAGAAAGAGAGCTGTGCCAGTCACCACCAATACAGCTTATGTTTTCCTGAGTCATGTGTTAGCTGTTCTCTTCTAGGAAATGAATTGGATTAAATGATGATCACAGCTTGATGTCTTCTAATAGACAGTAGGTCTCTAATGGGCTCGTTTATGTTATAGTGGAAGGCTTCTTGCAGTAATAGGGAATGCACGTGGACAGTGGATTTGGCTCTGGCAGTCTGCGTTCAACTGACAATAGCTTTTTAAGGACGTGTCCTAATCTTCACAGAAACCCATTTATTACAGTCAAAAACAGGTAGCTGGAAGGAAACTGGATTTATAGGGGGGAATGGAAGTATGTGGGAAAACACTTGTGAGTAGCAGCCATTTGCCTTAGGTAGCTAAGATCAAAAATAGCTACATGAGATTCACCACAGAGGAGGAAAGGAATATACACCATTGCCTTATGTTTTCAGGGTGGACAAATGGTTCAGTGATACTGAAAATGATGCTTAAAAGTCGCTACTTTGTTCTTATCAGCAAGTTCACTATGAAATTTGAGGTGTTAAACCTTTGCCAAAGTTGCTTCAGGGAAGTCTGTGAAGATTTTCTTCTTGAAGTGTTAGTGGTTAACTTGTTTCCACTTCTGAGCACTTAGATTTAGGTCTGGAAAGAGTAACCTTAAGTTTCTTTGCAGTTTGCCTGACTATCCCCCTGTCTGCCTGTTCCTGGGTTAGATTCAGTCGTGCCTGGTTTTCTTTTCTTTTTCTTTATCTGTAGATTGTCATATGAGAACGTGTGGTGATTGCAAATTGGTAGGTAGCACAGCTCCATCATGCTGCTCACTCAGTCTCCCTATCAGAAGAGAGTAAGAAAATACAATAAAAGGCAGCAGGCTGGAGCTGCTCGGCCCTGGTACAGGGCAGTGCTGGGCTCTGCTCACAGAGGCCTCCCCTCTGCAGCCCCCACTGCCAAAACCTTATGCACAAACCCATTATGGAATGGGAATCTTGTGTCTCATAGTCTGTTACAGCAGTGTCATCTTCTTTGGGAGGCACTTCTTCACTGTTTGTATTGAAAATGGGCGGATAAACATTACTCATTCATTTTCTTAAAGAGCTAACAGTAATTGTTCATTTCTAAAAATACCTTGTCTCAGAGAATAACACAATATGTAGGTATATGAATGTAACTTTATATTACTTATAAGTGTCATTCTGCTTGACTTAAGAAAGGGAATGGGCAGAAGGATGAGGGTGTGAAGGGAGGAAAAGATGGAATCTGCAGCTTCCAGTTCATGCTGTAAGACTTACACATCTGAGCTGATTGGAATGGAATACCTTTACTATCAAGGGAAGCAGGTGAACAGTTTTTTGTTTTATGCATCTGTTGGAGTTTAGTTGTCCAGTGTGAAATAAGTTTTGTAAGCAGTAGTTTCGCACTATTAGCTGTGATGGAAGTTTAGACGAGAACCAATGTGTCTTATGTCTATGCCAGAAATACCTGCATTTGAGCAGGTGAATCCCATGCTGTGAGTGGAAACTGCCACCAATCTGTGACTTCCCACTTCCATACTATGCATTCCAGAAGAAATAAATTTCTTGACTTCATGCACTTTGCAATGGCATGTGTATTCTGAAAGTTAAAGCCTTTTGTCATGGCAGTGGCAGCTGTCCCCTTTTGGGCTACTTTATCCAAGCTGGGCTCACCAATGTTCTTCACAGAGGGGATGCTGATGAGCCTAAGGGTGCTGCTGGAACCGCCTGCTTAGCAGAAGTATTCCCAAGCTGCAGTGCTGCAAGGAAGGTGGTGTAGCTCCATTTTGGGCTGGGATGTTAGCAATATAGCCACCATGGTTCCTGGTGCTGGGTCTACAGCAGTGAAGTATTGACATAAGCAGGCCATAGCAGATTAGGCTGTGCTCTTCTCTCTGGATGATATTGTGATGCCTTTGCAAATAGTACAGTCTGAATTTATTCAGTCCTAATCACTGTCACAGTGTAGTCAGGTTTTAGGCAGTTGAAAGGCATAGGCTTATAGAATCAGAATCACACACTCACAGAATGACCTGGGTTGGAAGGGACCTCAAGGATCATGAATCTCCAACCCCCTGCCACATGCAGGGCCACCAACCTCCTCATTTAATGCTAGACCAGGCTGCCCAGGGCCCCATCCAACCTGGCCTTGAACGCCTCCAGGAATGGGGCATCCACAGCCTCTCTGGGCAGCCTGTGCCAGCACCTCATTACTCTCATAGGAAAGAACTTCCCCCTGACATCCAACCTAAACCTTCCCTCCCTCAACTTAAAACCATTTCCCCCTGTCCTGCAGTTACCAGCCCTTTCAAAGAGTTGATTCCCCTCCTGTTTGTAGGCTCCCTTTAGGTACTGAAAGGCTGCAATGAGGTCACCCTGCAGCCTCTTTTCCTCTAGGCTGAACAAGCCCAGCTCCCTCAGCCCTGGGAGGTGCTGCAGCACCCTGATCATCTTTGTGGCTCTCCTCTGGACCCTCTCCAACAGCTCTCTGTATTTCTTGTATTGGGGAACCTAGACCTGGACACAGTGCTTCAGATGGGGCCTCCCAAGAGCAGAGTAGAGGGGGACAATCACCTCCCTGTCCCTACTGGATAGCTGCTAATATATAACTGAGAATTGCTTGAGTTGCTTATCAGGGATTTTTATTCATATCCTTATTTAGTGTTTGTGATTGATTGTTGTGCCATGTAATCTGATGTTTGGTCCAGAAAGGTGGAATTGCTGAGTTGTTACAATTAGGTTTCTGAGGCTGGGCCTTTAGTTGCCCTTAATGTAAGCCTGTGCTCAGTAATGCATTAAATTAAGCTGATAGGTACTCTATTATCTCTATTATTGTCTTGTGCACATTGTTCCATCATTTGTAAATTCCATGGCTCAATTATATCTTGATCACTGTGTTTATATTGTTGCAGTAATACTGTGAGACATTAGTACTAAATTCAACACCATTTATGCTGTTCATAGTGATGGAATGTAAGTGTCTTTTGGATAGGTTGGTCTTGTTTCCCTAGTTAAGCTAATGAAAACAAAAATATAATGGTCTGGTGTACCTTATCTGTTGCAAAAACTGTTTTTCAAGCACTTTTAGAACACTGAAGTTCCCAAAAATTATGTCTAAATGCACTGGAAGGGAATAAAAAAACAATCCAGATCCATTACAAGTGTATTTTTTGCCATGGTTTCTCATGTTGTCTCAGACTGCTCTTTTTTGCCCTTTATGTTGGGTAGAAAGAAAGTGAAACTATTATTAGTGTCCAGTTTAATGCAGTTTGTGGAAAGGAGTAATTTCAAGTATGTTTCTGAAATGTTAAATCCTCATGAAGAATAGGCTCAGAAAACACTGCCAGTAGCCCTAACATTGCATTGTATTTTGTGAAAGGTATACAGACAGCATTTTGAAGGTACATTCTCCCCATAGCAGAAATAGTAAAAAGTGACTGTTACCACTAATCTTTTACAGGACTGTCATCTTAGCATTCCTCTGGAATAATGTATTGCACTGCTGGCAGGAATTAATGTCTGTAAACATCAGTGAATGCGTGAGTATGACAGCAAAGAAGGCCTGATACTCAGTCTGCAAAAACTGGCATAGAAGCTGGATGTGAAATTCAAACTTGAGTGGAAATGTGTTTCCTCACAGAATGGTTGCTGCTTTACTGAAAGTAAGGTGTTAATTTGGTTGTGAGATAAATATGAGCCTTTCCAGGACAGTTTTGTGCTATTCTGCGTTACTTTTTGCATCCATCCTAGGGAAGCAATGCATGCTTCAGTTCTTATGCTCTGTTTACAGCAAAAATAGCTTATGTGAAGATGAGTCTGTTTACTGGAGGTTTAATCCTGAAGATCTTCCACACGTGTGCTGGTGTCTCAGCTCAAGGCAGAGTATGGTGACAGTAGGAGCTGTTTTGGTTTCTCCAAACAAACAGTGTCTCCGTTGTGTTCTCCACAGATGTCCCCTTTTCATGGTTCATCCCATTGTCCCTTCACACTTGCCTGTGGAGACTCTCACCAAGTTTGGCCAAGCAGTGCAGCTGCCCAGGCTCTCTGCACCCTTGGAACCTCTCCCAGCTGGGGATGCTGGTGTGGTACTGTGCCATCTGACTGTGTTTATCTGATCATGCTTTTGAAACAAAAGCTTTCTCAAGTCCTAAGCTGACAAGAAGTATAATGCTTGATGTAATGTTTCCTGCATATTTTTTTTTGCCAGAAGCTGTTCCATAACATATGTTTGATGCTGGAAAGAGCTCTACAATTAATCCCTGTCCCAATGATAGAGGAATGTGGCAGATCAGAAGCGAGTATATAAGGTTATCCCCTACCTTTTAGCATCCATGTGATGAAATCTCTTTTGTGTGAGGTGAAGTTCAGGTGTGGAGTATGCCATTTCACAGTCTGGATACAGTATCTCTGCAGGGCAATGAAATATAAGTCAGGTTATCCAGAGAGTGTTGTCAACAAGCAAAAGTTTTATGTGTCCAGCCTTCCACAGGTGACAACTGTTATGTGAAGTTCTGTGAGGTATTGTTTCATTTGTCTTAAATGCATTGGATAGCTGGCTGCATAATAGAAATCATGAGTTCTGTTACGCCTCCAGAGATGTCTCTTGTGAGAAGCTTGTGGTTACATCAAATGTGCAAGTTTTAATGAAAATCCATAGAACATAAAGGGAACCTGTTTACATCTCTGTAGCTCAGAGCAGCTGCATATTACATTACATCTGCAATTCTGTAGATGTTATCTGCTTCAATAAATTACACTGGATTTTTAATACTAGAGATTGCAAGGGCTTTCACAATGTATTCTCATAATTTATCAATATGCTTATGATAAGGTAATCCTCATGCCTTTAAAGAGGTCATGATGGGCATCTTAGAGTTACCTGTCATCTTGTGTTGTAATATACCAGTATGGCCATTTTATTGTTGTGAGCTTGATTTTAACTTTGTGTAATCCAGTGATCAAAAATATATTTGAATTTGAATGTATGTTTTGAAAATTAGCTACTTTTTAGTTTTCAGAATATTTCAGTTTTGCATGTTGTTTTGGCTCAATTTCTTTCTTTCACTAAGTACTGGAGAATATACTACTGGGGTTCGTATTTGTTCTAGAAAAGAAGTTGGATTTGAAAGAAACTGATGATGCATACCACAATTTGGAAAATCTGTGTTTCCTGGCAGTGGCAGATTATTCCATTTTAATTATAACCAATGTACTCAGGTTTTCTCCTTTTGTCATGTTTCTTTATAGTGGCCACGTTCTCTACATTTATGTATTACTTATACCACACTTTTCATGCCATCCTCAGTGTGTTTGCTAAAGAACGAATCACAGAGTAATGTCTCATCAGTCTGGCTCTAACATAAATGGAGCTCATCTGGTTTGTTTAGAACAAACATGTGAAGGATTGAGTGACAGATTCTAGTCATTCAGGCTGTAGAATTTGTGGTGTGTTATCCCATTCTTAAAACAGGAAGTGTGCAAGAAGAGTGCTTCTTTAATTGTATGTCCTCCCACATACAAGCAATAAGGTAATACTTAAACCTGTCTGAATGTGATGATACCAAAAGCAGTTGCTGTAGGTACTTCACACTTTCTTCATATATCTGCCCGATTGTTTTCTGTAGTCTGGAAGCTTAGTAGGGACAAAGAAGGATGTAACCAGCAGCCTTTGTTTTCATGCCTCCTGTCAGCCTTCTCAATTGCTTTTTAGCTGATACCTGAGCCAAAGCGTGTGCTTTTCTTATAGTGCTGAATATGACTGCAAGGAACACTTAGTAAAGGAGTGGAGAAGGAAAGAAGGAAAAAAATGCACAAGGAGAATGAAATGAATACTTTGGAATGAAGAGAGGAATAGAAGAGGAAGAAATTCCTAACATAGAAAACAAAAGAGAGGAAAGCATTTCTGAATATTTGCTTGTTTTCACAACATTGCTGAAATGTGTGTTTTCAGACTGTGCAGCAGCATGAGAGAAGCTGTCTGTTAACTACTAAGTCAGTGTCATTGCAGCATCTGCAGATAGGCGCCCAGTGGTTTTCCTCTTGATAATTTTTAGGTATTATCAGTGGTTCCTGAAGAAATATCTGTAGCCTAGATATTAAGTCTTACTGGAGTCTCAGCAGTAGTCTCCAGGATACTAGCTCTCTAAAAAAACACCGTTTGCTCAGAATTTGGTTGTGTAGCTTGCCATCCTGAATTCTCACACATTTTACCAAGGGCAGCTTGGGCTTCTGTTCCAGCTGTGGTACGTCAAGGGTTCAGTCTTGGTCAAACACTTGGTTGGCATACTGTTCAGAGAGCAGAGATATTATTATTGCAGATTACTCTTGGGATCTGTGGTGATTACTATCTTAAAAATCATGGTGGCATCTTCCTACCTAATAGCAGATACTGTGTGTGATACAGCTGGGTTTACTCAAATAATTTGTGATGGGATCTAAGCCATAATGTATGGAATGTGTGGATGGCAAGAGATGTGACTGAAATGGGATGAAGAATAGCAAGGTAGCAATCCAGTTTCCTAACCATTTATGTATGTAGCAACCATAATGACGAAAGCAGAGCAGTCAGTCTAAGGTTGTTTTGGCTTACTGCCAATTTAGAAATAAATTATTGGTACTAAAATTTCTGTGAACATAAGCAGTATTCACAGGAATGCTAAAGACACTGTAAAATTTTAATGAATCAATTAAAATGTTAAATATAATAAAGCCACATAACTAGCTAAATAACTACTGGTAAAAGATTTCAGTACCATTATCTTCTGGGTGTTGCAGGATGTGTGTGTATGGCAGGAAGTGGATGAAAGAGGGAAATGCAGAACCTGGACATGGGCACATTCAGCAATGCAGCAGAGTTTATACTGTGGTGTGAGCCAGGATGTGACAATGAGGTCACGGTCTGGATGAATAGATGAAAAGCATGCTGCTGTTTCAAGTGCTTCCTATCTGGAAGACTGTACTAAAGTGATGGGAGGGCTGTGGTGGAGTAGAAACCTCAGATACTAATCAGCCTTTAAAGACCAGGCACTGAATCATCTTTCAGAAGAATTTTCTCTGGTGCTGTTTTTCTTCAGTTAATTGCATTTAACTTGGACGTACAGCTTAAGTTTTATATAACGTTCTCCAAATTATTTGCAAAAATTTTATCTGCAATCTTCCCAAGATGTTGGCAGGGAATACTTCTAAATTAATTTTCCAGCTGCTGAATATCAGTGGATAATGAAGTGCCTTATACCCAGATTGGAAGTGAGCTGTTAACAGGATAAAGCAGATATATGATTAAAGCTGGCTTTTTAGTATTTTTCGTATTTTGGTGCTCTGATCTCACAGGGACTGTTTTTGTTTTTTTT